CCCCCACCCCCACAGATATTTAAGGACAGTCTCCTTTATCTGTGTAACAGTTTCCACATAAACTGAAAAAAACAACAAATAGTCTGGTAGCACTTTATAGACTAACAAAACACGTAGTTTCCCCATAGTCAGTGTACGCAACCCCCTTTGGTGATGCCACAGCCCACACAGCTATGGTCACCTGCCCCTATGGTAACATCTGCAATTGAGAAAAGATATTTAAGGACAGTCTCCTTTATCTGTGTAACAGTTTCCACATAAACTGAAAAAAACAACAAATAGTCTGGTAGCACTTTATAGACTAACAAAACACGTAGTTTCCCCATAGTCAGTGTACGCAACCCCCTTTGGTGATGCCACAGCCCACACAGCTATGGTCACCTGCCCCTATGGTAACATCTGCAATTGAGAAACAAGTTACACACAGGCACACTAGCTAACTCTGTGCCTCCTAATGACGCCGTGGCTCCCTCATCCTTTTGCTTCTAACAAAAGACAGGACTATGCAGCCCTTTAAAGACTAACAAGATGGTTTATTAGGTGATAAGCTTTTGTGGGCCAGATCCACTTCCTCAGATCAAATAGTGGAAGACAATTGGCATGACCATATATACCAAAGGGATACAATAAAAAAAAGTGAACACATATAAAATTGACAAATCAGATTTTAGAACAGAGGGGGAGTGAAGAGGGGAGGTTAGTGTCTAACTCGTGCAGTAGTGTCATTACCTTTTTGCTTGTGTCATTTGTTCTATTTTGGCTTTGTGAAATTAAACTGTTTTTAATGGGGCCACCTCTTCCTGTATGTTGCAGTACCTAGCACAGCAGGTTTTTTATTCTGGTTTGGGTCCCAAAGCACTGCTGTATGGATGCACAACCCTGACAGATCATTCCAGGCAGTAAGATTGTTAACACTCTGCAGTTTGTATTCAGTACCAATTAATGTAAGGAAACCAGATGGATGATTTAGATTTACATTGGTCCAGCAACAGGATCTCAGAATGTTTTTTTTTTAAGTTACATCATGCGGTCACTATACTGATTGCTGAAATACAGCCACCTCTGATGTGTAGCACAGCAGCTATTTTAATACTTCAAAATAACAATATGAAACAACTCTGAACAGGAAGTGACTTTTTGTCCAGTTGTAATTATAGGGGAATTTTAAAATAGGAAGAAAGGCATTATGCTGGAATATAGCCAAGATAATAATGATAACACCCATTCTCTTGCAAATTTGTCCTTTGTATCATAATATCTGCACCATGCATTAGAATCTTACAACCATATATTATTTGCTTTTTCAGATTCTGATTAATTTTAATACAGAAATTTAAATCTTTTCAGCACCTCTAAAAATGTATACAGCTAAAGGTATAATAATGGCAAATATTCTCTTTGAGAGACTTAAAGCAACCAAAACAGTTTAATGTTCAATCTGTTAAAAATCAACTGAAGGATTATTGTTAAAACATTTATGCTGGGCAGACTTTGAGTCTTCAGAATACTTTTGGAAAGCTAGAATCCTTGTATTATGTACTAATCAAGTGCACCATGTTTTCTCAATTTGAAAACCTTAGCATAAGTCTTAGCATAAGTTCTCTAATTCAGTAGTCATGGTCATGAACATGCTTCAAAAGTTGAGCCAGCTCATTTATAACAAAAAACAGAAAATGTTTTCATTTTCTTTTTCATTTTTCTTTTAGTTCCCCAGGCCTCCTTGCATAGGATATGTCTACACTATGAGACAAAGTCAAATTAAGATATGCAACTTCAGCTAAGTTAACTGTAGAGCTGAAGTCAAAGTACCTTATCTCAACTTTTGGCACTGTCCACACTGCAGGAAGTCAATGGGAGTACACTCTCCCTTCAACTTCCCTTACTCCTTGTGGAAGCAGGACTACCAGCATCAACTGGAGTGCCCCTCTCCGTTTGAATTAGCTGTCTTAACTAGACCTGCTAATTCAAACCCTGGAAGATCGACAGCAACAGCTTCAACCATTCTCTGTAGTGTAGACATATCCATACTGCATAACAATTGACTCCATTGGCTATTTCCTGCAAATCTGAAATGTGTGTTGATCTCCTGCCTATGCCTCCCAACTCTGACTACTGTTTGTCCTCAGTTATTTTGTTGCCAATCCTGTATTGAGCCTGCTGGTTTGCAGGAATTACTAGAGACCTGCACATATATAAAATTGGTATCTGCATCCACAAAAATGATCAGCAGATATCCACATTTGTGAAGTCAGATATCTGCAGATATAAAGTGGATATCTGCAAATTTGCAGGGTTCTAGATACAAAATTTGTATTTGCATCTGTATCTTCAAAAATGAGCCATGGACATCTGAATTCACATGTGTATGTGTGAATACCTGCAGATACAAAGTGGATATCCACAGATTACGGGGCTTTAAGAATTATTTAACTGGGTGAGACCATAGTTTGTCTTATCTGGTATCCTGTTTCGGACTGTCGCCAATAACTGACGCTTCAGAGAAAAGTGAAAAAACTCACATAATGGACAATTCTGCAATAATTAGACCCACATCCATACTGGTATTTAGGCTCCTAATTTCCATAGGCATCCAGTAGCCTATGCACGGGAATGCTTTGCCATCCCAAACCACCAGGAATGGCCCTGCCCATACTCCACCCCCAGAACACCTGCTGTTGACATTCTGGGGGGCGCATTGTTTCTGCCTCTAGTGCAGTGGTCCCCAACCATTTGATCAGGATCTACTGGTAGATCTTGGAGCCTCTGACAGGTGATCCTGACTGGTTTGGCCAAGAGGCCATCAAGGGGTGGCAGTTGCGCTGCCCTTCCCC